TGCAAGAGCCAGGGTGTCACAACCAGGTTTTAAGCAGCAACCATGCTCCACAGAGCTGTGGGGACCCTGCAATTTGTTTCCGAGGTGCCTTTGCCTCAGATACCCCTCTTTGAGCTCTGCCTGCCTGGTGGGGTTGTAAATATAGAAACTTAAGCCCTGGAGTTTTTTTTTTTTTCCTCCAAACACGTCCCTCCCATCTTAGCATCATCTGTGCAATTCCTCCAGCTGCTCCTATACATGGTATGATCTTTTTTTTCCCCTTCCCTTGCTGCTCCCCCCCTCCACATCCCCCATCCCCGCCCCATCCCTGCTCCCTTCCCTGCCCAGCGCAGGGGGTCTAGGGCCAATCGGCTCCTCCAGACGATCAAATGTCACTATAAGTTGAGAGCTGCATCCCCTTGGGACGCTCGCAGATCCCAGCCTGCCTGTCCCCTTCAGCAAGGAGCTCGGCGCTTCTCTCCACTCCTCCTAGGTAAGCGGGAGCCCTGGTGAGGGTTGCTGCCGAGGGGTAACACTGCCGAGGGGCTAAGCCTTGCTTTCAATGGAGAAGCATCAGGGGAGGGTTGGGGTCCACAGGATCCCAGATCCTAAGAAAAAGGCACTTTTCCTGCCTGGCCTTTCTTGGGCATCACATGAGGCTCGTGTCACTCACAGAGTTTTGGATGCTCTGAACTCTCCAGGATCAGTAGTGGGAGAAAAGACCCTTCCAAAAGCAAAGCCTGGGGCTGGGAATGAGGTGGCATCTTGCAGGGCTTTTGGGAAAACTCGATTCAGCAGCAGGAGGGGAGTGCTGACCTTTCCTCCCCCTGTCACCTGGAAAAAGGGACGGCTGAGGCAAGAAGAATGAAGGGCAGGACCGTTGGAGAGCTGCTGGCAGGCGAGGAGGGCTGTGGGGTCTGCGACTAGAGGGAGACCTGAGAAAAATTAATGTGGTCGTGGAAAACTCCCCCTTCCCACAGAAAAGAAAACTGGGAGCGATCCCCCTGTGTGTGCAGAGAGGGGCAGGAGGACGGGGTTAATTCAGAGTGGTGATGGGATGCTGCCTGTATGCACAGCTTCATCCCCCTTCCTTTTCTGGCCGGACCACCTAGTGCATATCCCCCATCAGCCTGTGGCTGCCCCACGGGGCTGAGCTCCTCGCTATCGGGATGCATCCTGCAAAGGCAGGAGTTTCACCAGCACTGGTGGCTTTGATGCCAGCGATTTGGGTGGGAGCCGTGCCACTGGCATGGAGGAGCTCCAGCAAGACGATTGCTAGGGCGGGCAGGCAGACATCCTTCGTGGGTGCAAGACCAGAGGAAAGGCAGGGGCTATCAGCTTAGCATGGTTGTCATCTTTTAGTCTTCTGTCTCAGCCTCGTTGTTCCTGGCAAACCCTGTGCAGGGATCTACCAGATCATTATCACCCCGAAGATAAGGATAAAGGGCACATTTTGGGGCAGGGAATTGGGATTTTGCTTTGTGTTGGTGGAAGCTGCAGCAGCGCTTGGGTCCCGCTGCCCTGTTTCAGCAGCAGCGCTGCAGTGGGCACCTCGCCCTCCAGCCCCCAGGGAGAGAAACACTTTCTGCTGGAAACTACTGAGCAGCTCAGAAACAAAGGGAGGAGGCAGAGGGATGGAAAAAATATGTATTGAAAACAGTATATGTATATACTTTTTATATAGAAAAGTATACGTATATATATTTAATAGATATATATAATACATATATTTTTATATATAGATATGTATATAAAAAAATAGATGCAGTGGGTTGGCAGCAGCTCCTGCTGGGAAAGTGTGGCCATGTGGTGCTTGGTGGATCGTACCTCTAGTCCTCGCCCGATCACTGTCCCTGCCAGGTCCCATCACCCGTCCACGGCCACTTTTGCCCTCCCCTCTTTCCGTACTACGGCTCTTGCTACCTTGCCTCCCTTGTATGGCCTGGCTTGGGGGGGGATGATTGATGGAATCCAGGGATGGCCTGGAGGTGCAAGGCAGCCCATTCCCCCTCCCGGGTGCATTCTCAGCTGCTAAGAGACTTCTTGGGATGTGCTGGCTCTGCTCTTTCAGCCAAGGGCAGGAGCATTTGGGGCCAAAAGGGACATGGTGTTCCTGCCCACCTGGGGCTGATGAGGATTGAGGTATTTGCCCTTCTAGCCATGACCCGCCTAGCCTGAACAAAATGCAAAAAACAACCTTTGCTTTCACCCTTAAGGGGTGGGAGCAGGCAAGACGTTTTTGGTCTGGCAAAACTTTCCCATGTGTTTTGATTTCCTCCCAAACGGTGGGCAGTATTAACTAATTGATTTTATTACATCCTTAAACCTCAGTCAAGACCAGACCCCATTTTTCTGCCACTGTACACACAAAACCCAGTTATTGCCTTAAGGTGCTAACAGCCTTAATCTTAGGCTGCATTTGCTGTGTGTAAAGTAATTTCCACCGAAGGGCAGTCCCGAGCCAGCTGGAGACTTTCCATTGCCTTCCGTGAACTTAATCCTAACGGCAAAAAATACTGTTCTTAGTGGATTGCTTTCTTTATTGCCTTTTGGATGTAAATATGTTTTTGGTTTTGTTGGCTGCTTTGATGACAGAGTTAGCTACGTGGACAGTGCTGGGCATCACAGAGCCTTTCTCGTCTCGGGTGGCTGTTGCTATGACGGTCTGTGTTTCGCCCCTGGCTTCGAGGGACCAGATGGCTTTTGAATGCCATGAAGCAGACAGGCACCTTGTTCTTCTTGAGGCGAGACCTTTTTGGCTTTCCAGCCAGGGCAGTGGCAGTCAGCTACAGCCTTAAATGCCAGCTCCTCCCGACAAAGGGACCAAACTTGGCTGAACGTTTGGCCCTTGCAAGGCTGAAATCTGCACCTCCCCCCAGATTTTTTGTCCACCCTGCCCTAGGCGGTGGGGCTTCTGCATCTGGCTCATCTCTGCACAGAGTCTGCCAATGCACTTGTTATTAATTCATTTTATCCAGGGCCCAGAAACCCCCTCAGGGTTGGGGTCTTACGGTGTCAGGGATGCTGGCATTCTCGCTCAGCTTTTATAGCACGCGGACAGATGCCATGCAAAATCCCATTCGCATTTGCAGCGCTTGGATTAACAAATATGGAAGGGTGTAGGGGAACAGCCAATGTGACAACCCTCAGCAAGATGTCCTTAGAGCTAAATTGGAAACTAGATGAGCTCATTCCAATAACTGTTAATGGAAAGCCTGATTGCAAAGACTCCCATCGACTTCAATTGCCTTGAAAGAACAGCATGCGCTGCATTACGTGCCTATCCCACACCGAACAGACATTTGTTCTCCGTATGCATATGCAGGGCTCTTGAGCTGATTTCTTCTCCAGCCTTGAGCAGTATTCCCCTTCTTGCCACTGGAGTGAGAGGGAAGAAGAGTTTAGCCCAAAGCCCTTTAAAAGTCCTCTTCTTTTCCCTCCACCTTGGGAAGAAGGAAATCTGGGTTTATAAATTAAAGGCAGAATCTGTAGGAGGACTGGCCATTACCCCGAGTCTTTAGAGATCATGCATTTTGGAAGAAGCCAAGAGCTGGGCATCTGGCAAGTTCCCTCTATGGGCTTTTGCCAGGAGAAGCTCTGCTGTCCTGCTGCATAAACCAACATACTGTCAAACATTACTACTAATAGCTTGAATAATTTTTGGTGGCCGAAATGAAATTGCAAACCTACCATACTGCTAGCCACTGTGCAGATAGCAAGTGGAAGTCCTTACTCTGCAGATGTGATCATCTAGGTAAAAAAGACCAGGGAGAGAGGGCCAGAGGTGTTGCAGCATCCAAGTAAGTAACAGAAAAAGCAGCAGAGAAAAACCTGTTGAAGAGCTGAAATTCCTCCCAGACATGAAATTCCTCCCAGATTCCTCCTGCCTGGTGGGGTTAGAGTTCCCAAAGTACTCCTTGGGATGGCAGTTGCACTTGAGGAGTGGGCAATCACAGCAATCAAGTTAAAAGCAAGAGATCACTGCACCCAAATCTCATGTGTCCTAGCAGTAGATCATCCTCCTGTCCAGCTACTCAGATTGGGTCGTAACACAGGCATTGCTGGCACTACTTCCAGGGCAATGCTGAATTTCAGAAAGAGGATAAATGCAGAACTAGAAGAAAAAATGCTGGCTGTTTATCACTGCTTAGAACACAGAGGTTTTAAATCTTGCTGGTGTTAACGTGTGGTGCTGAGGGTCATTGCTGGGGAACGGAGAGGATCCCTTATAGGGCAGGGTTGGAGCCTATGGGTTTACTGCCTTCCTCTGAAATAGAAAGCTGCTGAGCCGCAGTTGTTCCTTTTGAACCTGTCAGCCCACCTGCTCCTTCAAGACGTCTCTCATATATCAGCTGAGTAATGAAGTCATGAAAGCCATGGTTAGGGTTTCCCAGCAAGGAGGAGCCTGGCTTTCTAATTTAAGACCCACTGTGGATTTGCAGGAAGTTTTGGGGGCCCTTCCTCACCTCCTTCCCCTGGCCTCAGAGCAGTTGATGCTTTTAGGAGATCCATAGTGTTGCAATGCTGCCATCACCGCACCTGGTGCAGCGTGCGATATTGCCCCGATGCTCCCCGAATAGCTGTGCTGCTCCCTCTGACTCTGGCTGAGGCTACAATACACACATTTGGGATCTGGCAAAGTTCAGCAGAGTGGCCATATCCAGCCCCAGCCCTTCCCTGGCTGCAGCTCTGCCCGTGGCTCTGTTTTCTTGCAGAAACGCGAGCCACGACAGCGCTGTGGATGGGTTCGTTTCTGCCCCGCAGTGCGAGGACTGGTCGTGATAAATACAACTGGTTATATCAATAGGAATTGCCTGACCAGGCATTTGGCCAGTTCTCATCCTAAACTAATCAACAGATAATTCACTAATCAACAGCTCATTCATTCATTCATTCATTCATCAGCTGTACAGGCCAGACACTACAACTTACGGCACTTTTGAGTGCGGACAAATAAATAGCTATCTCTGGATGTATTGGTAGTTTCAGTTATTTTATTTTTTTTTTCGCTCTGACTAATGCTTTGGGGCTGGTGCCTTCCCACTTGTAGCAGTGTAAGAGATGGAGGAATTTCTCCGATCTTGCTGGAGCGATGGAAATGTCAGATGGGTGCAAGAGGACACCCATCTCCTTGGGCTGTGGAAGTTTTGTAACTTAAAGCCAGGTTGACGAAGCATGTCTTTCCAGATGATCTTTCCCTCTTCCCCTCTCCTTCTCCTCTGACTTGGCTGGCAAAGGTCTGTGCTGCTCCCAAAATGGCAGTGTTAGTGGGGGATTGGCTGCTGTGTGGGAAAACAGGTGCCTGGCTTTTTTTGTCCTCAAATATCAACCCATCTGCTCCTGCCTTGGCATTTTCTAGGAGGCGCTCCCGTTAATAACACCTTTTTTTTTTTCCTTCTTTTTTTCCCCTTCTTCTTTTCATCTTTTGTCTAGAAACTCGCTGCCAACATGTCTGATACCGAGGAAGTGTAAGTAGAGAGAAAGCTGCCTGCATGTTCATCTGTTCAGCTTGGCTCCGCGCAGTGGAGCAAGGGCATCCCCATGGGAAGGAGAGACTGGGTGCTGCTCCATGGATCGCCCGAAGCCCTCCAAGGCAGTGGGGAAGGGGCATCTTGGATTTTGGGAGTCAAAGGGTCCATCAAAGTTCACCTGACACCCTCCCTGCCCAACACAGATGCCCTCCAAACACCACCACCCAGCTCAGCCTGTCCTCGGTGGCCATGGTACCACACCAGGAGGAGGTGGAATTAAACATACAATGTAGTGGAGGAGCCACTTTCTGCCCTGGTTTAACAAATCCAGAATAATATGACCAAACCCAACGTGGTCATTTGACATTTACGCATCAGTAGGTACAGAGGGGAGATTTAGGGCAATTGTAGGATCAGAGGCATCATGGACAGATTTGTGGTGGTCGCTTAGTCCCTTCCTCTGCTATGAGGCAGACTCAGCTAACCTATGTCATTTTGTCCAGCCTGCTCTTAAAAAAATTTCCAAAGATGAGATTTGACACCTTTTTCAAGCAATCTCTAACTAAGACATCCCTTGTTTAGGGTCTGGCCCCAGGGCTGCTTTGGGTTTCATGCAAGGTGACGGTAGAGCAGGTGAGGCTGGCAAGTGGGGGCAAGGAACGGGAACAGACCGCGAGACTCATGTTGCTACAACCATGGTATAAACATGGAGCAGCATCTGGCTTATCTCAAATTTTTATTAGACAGCCCTAAGGTTCAGGGAGCCTGTAGCACATCTGGTTGGCGTGGGCTATCAGCTACAGGCTGGCTTGCCTGGCACAGCAGGGCTGTGGTCCAGCTTCCTCAACCCCTGCACAGCTCTTATGTGTATCGTGTCGTGTTATAGCCCTGTGGCAGCAGGATTATTGCTGGGTATGGATCCATATGCACGAGCAGAATGAGAAACACTATGTAAAATCAAACCCAAACCCAGTCACTTTACTAATCTTAAAACCAAACGGCTCCTGGAAGAGCAAAGGGAGAATGGAGGAAACAAGAAACAAAAAACTTTAAACAACAGTGCATTGGGTTGCTTCAGCGTATGGTTTAAAGCTTGGCGATAATACGGAGTGGAAGGAATATTTATCTAGTTTCAATAACCTTTTTTCCTCTCTCGCAGGGAGCAAGGAGAGGGTAAGTCTCAAATCTGTCTCTGGTTGCTTCCACGCAAGCCTGCAGCATTTGCTGGCCGCGTCCGTCTTGTCCTTTCTGCCCGTCGTCGGTATTTTAACAAAAAGTGCCGGTACAGTTAGACAAATCTGAGGTCTTTTTTTTTTTTTTGCATGTCTGACCGTCACCAGCTTCTGGTGATTTTACGCTACTTGTAGCCCCAAAGTGATGCCCTTATTGTGGGGGATGCTGCTGGTTTTTGTAGGGGCACTGCCATCTGCTGGCAATTTACTTTGTGGCTTTTGTATACGTAATACTTTGTTTTAAAACATAGAAACTCCCAATATATACAAGCCATATACATAGAAACAGACACGTTTGTTTTCTTTGCTGTTTTTTCTTATACTTGGAGGGCCCCTCTGCCACCTCTTTCCTTCTAACCCACGTGTATGCTTGAGTTCCCATTGCCCAAGAAAAGAATTCGATACAATATCACCCTCCTCCCCTTTTATGCCTCCTCTTTTTTTTTTTTCCAAAGTAATTTTATTTGCTATTTTCCTGGCTGATTTGGAAGCAGCCTCTCCAAGGCCATCTTGTCTGTCATCCCTATGAGTGCAAAGGGCGCTGCCGTGGGTAACATCCTACCGATGTGTCACGGCTGATGGTTGATTTGTCTGTTTGTTTTTTTTCTCCCTCCCCTATTTCAATGCAGAGGAATACGAAGAAGAAGGTAACAAAACCACTTGGAATGTAATTTATCTTTCTTTGATTCTTGGTCCTGCTTCTTCCTTGTCTGTAGTTCACCCTTCTCTTTGGCACTTGCCGCTAAAGGTGATCTGAAACACTTGATCGGCCAAGTTGGTGCCACGATCAGCCGAGCCTTCGTGTTACAGTGAAACGCAGTGTTCGTACGAGCCGTAGGGGATGGTTGTAAAGCCAGGAGCTAAACTGTCCAAAAACTCAGAGCATTTTAGAGCAGGGACTGGTGCAGAGCCCACACCACGTACGATCCTGCCATTGTCATTTTGGCAAGGTGCACATATTGAGTTTAAACTTTGGTATTGAAAAGAAGAGCAGGCTGCCCAGCTCCTGAGGAGCACCCAACGAGGTACTGCCGAGGATGCAAAAGGCGAGGCAGAGAACCGACTGGCAAAGATGAAGTTTTTTAACATGCTTTTAGCTGGCAAAAGGTGATTTGACAAGCTTGCAAGAGACAGACCACAGATCTGGAAAGATGGAGCATGAAAAGCCCTTCTCACTCGAGTTGTTTCAGCTTTTGTAGGCAGCAGGGAGAGGAAGATTTTGAAGATGTATCAGTGTCTTTGCTGGGCACTTTTGACACGTTGGCTTCAGTTCAGGCAAGCGTAGCTGCTGGTTGTCATCCTCCATTTTCCTAGGGTGTCTGGGACAGAGTGAGGGCCAAACTTCGGGCTTTCTTCTAGGATCTACCCCTAGTGTCCAAGACTTCTTTTAAGGGGCCAAGAGTGAAACCCTTTACTGGGAGGGCGAATATTTGCAGAAATGTCCATCTTGGGGATTTTATACATAGCAGGTGGGTTTTTTTTGCCACTGATTCCCCCAGATTGCTGCAACTGGCCAATTCCCATGACTGGTAGTGGGAATAGAGCTGTGACTGTGGCCGTGCTCAAAGTAGTTCCTACCCTGAGGTACATTATCCTTATGTCTCCAATTCCCCCACCATTGCTTCTGAGGGGATCAAGGGCTCAAAAAATGGAAAACAGAGATGACAAATGGGTTGTAGAGGTGCCTTCAGTCATCATCATGTCTCTAGTGCCTGGAAGGGTGGAGCCAGGGATGTGAAGGTGGTATTCATGCTCCATCCTTCATGCCTTGTCAAACGTCCAAAGAGTAAGCAAAGGGTGTTGCTCCTACAGACAAGTCTTCCTAAAAGGAGAAGCATTTCTTCTTGCCTTTCTCCTTCGTTCTCTAACTGTCTCCTTTTGGATTTCAATAATTTAATGATTAATATGAAATTAATAGGCAGGTGACTTCCTATTCTTGTAATCTGCATGACTGTGTCCTCTGAGGAATATCTTCTCTTTGCTCTCCACTTTTGCTCGACCTTTGTGTTATCTTCCAAAGTCATCCATTTCCTTTCCATGTAACTTCTCTCCATCACTTTCTAACCACTTTTTTTCTCCAGGCCTGAGCTCACCCCACCACCATTTTCTAACAGTTTTCTGTTTTCATTTTCCTGCTTGCTGTTGCTTCTTGTTCCATGACACTTGCCACCTGAAGCTCAGGAAGAAGGTATGTGACATGGCTTTTGCTTTCTTTCTCTCAGTGCGGAGGAAGAACGTGTGTGAAGAAACCCAGAGCAAATAGTTCACACCCAGTGGCTGGTACTTGGTCCTGAGCCACGGACATCAATGCAATGATGGACATTGATGTCACTTATTGAGCTGGTAGGAAATTTGGCCTGTTTTTTTTTATAAAGAAACCAAAACATGTATATATATGCGTTCTTATATATAAATATATGCAGATATAAACCCCAATATAATACATAGAATATACACACACACATATAAAAATTATATATATTTATGTATTATATCTATCATATTGGGTTTTATGTATGCGTATGTAAATGCATATATGTATATGAAAACAAATATATATGTATTTGTTTCGCGTTCTTATACATAAATATATGCAGATATAAACCCCAATATGATACATATGATATACACACACATATAAAAATTATATATATGTATGTATTATATCTATTATATTGGGGTTTATGTATGTGTATGTAAATGCATATACGTATATGAAAACAAATATATATGTATTTGTTTTGGTCTACCATTTTTACTCAGCTGCTTGCATTTTTTTGTCACAATGGTGTCAAGTCCCTTCCTTTCTCTCCAGAAGTTTAGACTGTTTTAGAAGGGACGAGGACACCCTGCAAAGTTTATATCCATCTGTTGAAACTGAGAAATGAATTTCTTTGAAATTTCAAAACTCGATAAAAGTTGGCGAAAATTTTTTATTATTTGAGAACAAGATTTCAAGGAAAAAAAATGCAGCAATTTTTCAATTTTATTTTTGGTTAAAAATGCACCAAAAGTCAGGTTTAGGAAATTTCAGCCAGCTCTAATAAAGAATAAAATATTGGATGCCTTTTTTAATGTGGTTTTCACTTGTGGTCACATTCCCATATTTCAGTAACATTTATAACCCCATAATGTGCCCATAAAAATGTTATTTTTAATTCTCTCTCACCCTATAATTCCATCATTGTGTATTCTTACCCATAACGGCCTGGGAGCTTGGCAAACCTCAAGAATGTTCCAATAAGATATTTCTTGTTCTAATTTTCTCCTCCCATTCCTTTTGCTGCCGTTTCCCACCCGCAGAAGAGGTTCAAGAAGAAGGTATGTGAAACAGCTTCTCGGCCCCCTGCTTTCCCGCAGCAGGGCTCGGTGCCGATGTGCGCCTCAATTTTGCAAGGTGGTAGAAGAAAACGAGAAGCAAGAGAAAGATGCTGGGACAGACGACCTGCAGGCACAAGGCTTTTCTTGTCCCGTGCACATGTTGCACTGAGGGTGCCCCATACCCTTGCACACCTGTGCGGACACCTCCGCTCCGGTTTCAGGGAGGGAGCAGCAGGGGAAATGCAGATACCATCTCCTCACCTGAGCCACGGCAGGCTCCGAGGCTGAGTTTTAGCCCTGGGTGTTTGTAACGCCCGCCGTGGAATAACTGGGGTCTGGCTGTAAAGGTTTCTATCAGATGTCAACTGGTTTCTCCTACGTAGCTTGGCAGATAATGATGGGATGGATTTTGAAATCAAAATCCATCTGTGGTAAGGTATGTGTGAAGCCATATGTTACATAGTACATATTCTATACTATGTAATATTATATATAGTATATAGTATATATTATAAGTTTACAGACTATAATATATAATATTATATATAATATGAATAATAATACTGCAGAACGCAGATCTTATTAATTGTATCCATGCAGACGCCGGCAAGTAACCCCAGCGGACTCCCCGCATTGCACGCGGCATTTGCAAAGTGGGACAGGCAGGGCAGAAGAGGGGATGGAACAGAAACCCACCCTTTGCACTTGAGAGGTTTGGGATGTGGTGCTCCAGGTAGGAGGAGCCAAAGGGTGCGTTGGTTCCACATTTGCAAAGCTCTGTGCAAACGGGCAGGTTTGAAACAAGGGTAAACCTGTTTATAACGCCATGGGAGACCCGCTCCGAGCGGTTTGCAGGGTTTTTACAGCATCCAGGTCCTGAAGGTTTTACATTTCCTGTACCGGTGTGTGCTTTGGTTGCCTGTTTCCATTTCACCTCCTCCTCTGTTTCTCTATTTCAGACCTGCTGTGGTCTTTTTAGACCTCCCCGTTGCATTCACGCACCCTTTAGTCTAACTGTTCTTGTTTTCCATCTCATTGCTCTGCTCCCTACCATGTCCCACCCAACAAAGCTCACGAAGCACCTATGTGCCATCACTTTCCGAGTTGCTCCCTGCCGCCTCCTTGGCGATGGGGAGGATTCAAGGGTGGTGCAAGAGGAGCAGGACCTGGTTACTTTTCCTTATCACTTCTGTCGTCTTTGCTTTCCACCTCTCCTCTGTGACCTGCTCTGCTGCAGGCTAACATGTGGGAAAGGTCTCGGTGCAAGGTCTGTTGCAAGCAGACGTTGGCTTGGTGGTAACCCAGCCTTTCCTGCCATGTGCGGAGCTTGCCCTAAAGCCCATCTGGGCAATGGCAGGAGGTTGTTCCTATAAAACTGGAATTAGAGGGAAATTTCAGCATGTGTTATTTGAGCTAGTTGTTAGGCCTTTCCCTCACCAGTATGTTTTTCTCTGTTCCTTTTACATAGTGCAGTTTTTTCCCAATCACACGTGCCTCAGATTCCTTCCCCTCCTGACCATTAGTGCATCCTTTACTGGGATAAAACGTTTTGCTCTGGCTTAACAGAGTTTTCAGCCTGTGTAATATCAGCCCATGTAATAATGTGTTTCTCCTAATGTTCCTTTGCATCCTGTCTTGTGACTCTTCCCACCTAAAGAAGCTCAGGAGGAAGGTATGTGACACGACCCCTAAATTCCTGTCTTTCAGAGTAAGCTCTGGTTTAGCCAGTAAGCCATAAGATAGTAAAAGAAAGCAGGAGTTAAAACCAGGCATATTAATATAGAATAAAACCTGTGACTATTTTGGGTTTTGTGCTCTCTCCCTTCATGTTTTGACACCGAATGCACTGGCGATGCTACATGGTAATTGTTGCATGGAAAAAAAAAGTATGAAAATTGCTGGGAAATGTAAACCTCTTAAAAGGATGAAGATTGAAAATCCTTCACTCTGAGACTGGTTGGGTCTCCCTGGGAGGCTTATTTTGGACCATTCGGGGGGGGCTGGGCCTCTGTATCACATGCAGAAGTGCCCATGATCGGTCTGCAGCTACAGCAGCTGCTGACACTGCAGATGCAGGGAGAACTTGCCCTCCTTTACTGGGCTGATGTTCTTACAACAGCATTTCCACATGCCCATTTTTCAGCTTAAACTTTGTTGTATAAAGCAACTGGTGATAATTTTGATGGTTTAGCTTTGCAAATGGTTAAAGATGGTTTTCTTCTTTGTGCAATGGAGTTTCTAGGCCACGGTCTCACGGTAGTACCCGCAGGCATGTGCCACCAAAAGCCTGCTGGCCTCAGGCTGTAAATCCACTTGGGCGAGTGTCAGGGTTGGGAAAGGGCATGCTGCTCCGGGCTTTACGCAGGATTGCAGGAATGTGCATATAAGACAAGTGTCATCTGATACGGCCACTTAAATCAGCTTTATGTTTTTAATATCTCAGACCATTTGTGCCCTCACTTCCAGTAGTGCCTTTCGTATCCATGTTCGTTTTATTTCCTTGCAGTATACTCTTAGGCTTTCCCTCCTCTTCCACTTTGTACGAGTGGAAGGTTGTTCTGATGTTTCTAACGCTCTTGTCTTCCTTTGCATTTTGCTCTGTGACTCTTCTCACCCGCTAAAGCTCATGAGGAAGGTATGTGCCATGACCTGTGAATTCCTCTGTTTCTGTCTGAAGTGGTAAGGCGTGCAGGAACTCTGGAGGTGGTTGAAGAGGAGAGGATGCAAAACTACCCTCTGCACGCTTACTGACGGCTGCTTCGCTCTCGTAGGATAAGTGGCGTGACAAGTAATAAGTACTAACTGCTGTTCTGAAAGCAATGCCCGAAGCACAGGCTGGGCATTGCTTATATATTGCCCAGCGCTCTGATTTCTCTAACCAGGCTATCAGTACGGATACCAGTTGGTAAGGGGATGGTGTTCCCAAAAGCATTTCCTCTATGCTATGTACCGGGGCTGGAGGTGGGACAGCCGTGCCCTGTGGCACGTCCCTTGGTCATGCGCTCCTCTTCCTCCTGTCCCCCCCACTGCTGTGCAAAGACAAAAATGGCTTTTGCAGCAACGTATGCTGATGTGGACAGACTCGCATCTGAAGTTAAGAGCAACAAGTGACTCCGTGTCATACCTGGTTTTCTGTTGGGCTAAGGGTTGGACTGAGTGCCATCGTTTTGGTTGCAGCGTATTTGCTGCAAAAGAAAATACCAATTCAGAGAAAAGATGTAGTTGCATGCTTTTTCTGTTAACCATTGGTATTTTTCTGGGTTAATGTGCATTATGCAAAAACAAGGGTAGCAGTGTTGCCTTTTTGCTTGACTTTATAATGAGAATTAAAGTCCAGATCTGGTAAGACAATTTGTGTGATTAGCAAAACAGCAGGTCATGGTTATTAAAGCATCTCAAACCCATTTACCCTTCAATTGCCCCCCTGCCCCTCTCTCTGCATGCCCAGCTAGGCTTTCATCCGATACTTTATCCTGCAGGTTGGAGAGCAGTAACATGCTCATACTTACCTTCCCACCTTGGCGTGCGGTCCTACACACCAGTGGTGAAATCCTGGTCACTAAGGAAATCAATGCCAGCTCCTCCGAGCCCTTTGATTTCCACAGAGGCTGGGATTTCTATGCACATGAATAAGAACAGGTTGTCTATACCCTTTTCGCACATTCAAACCTATGGGTAATGGACTTGATTTAAAGAAAAATAAATATTTTTGTCAACCAAAGGCTACCAATGGCACTTGATTTATAACATTATGAATATATATGTTAGTCATCTGCATCTTCTATCTCCCAACACCCCCTGTCCTTCCTCTCCACGATTTTCTAATTGTCATCCATATGCACCCTCTATTCCTCTTTTAATCTTATTAATGTTTTTATCCCTTTAACTCCTCCACCCTGGCTAAAAAAAGTGTAAGGTTTTTTTTAATCATCCTCTGTTTCTTGCTCTAATTCTCTTATCTTTCTTTGCATCTCCTTCCCTGCTACTTCCCTCTTAAAGAAGTCCATGAACCAGGTATGTGACTTCTGAATTCCTCTGCGTCAATCTGAAGGGTTATTGTGTGCTGGAAATTCAATTGAGCTTGGCAATTTCACAATTGGGTCATGTTCTGAATTGGGATAAAATGGAAACTTTTCAAATAAACAACAACAACAACAAAGAGGAACGCCTTGTTTGGCAGCTATTGAAAATTATTTTTTTAACTTGACACAAAAACATTTTGTTTTGACATTTCCCCCCCCCCCTCTTTTCTCTATGGAAGATTTGCAAATTTTGAAATGAAAATTCTATTTTAGATGCTTCTGCTTCTGAAGCATTGACTTTATGGATAATGTGGGGTACATATAGTGTAATGCAAGAACCAATCTGGAAGGAGAGATTGTCACAAGGCAAAAAATGAAAAGGTTTTGTTCTAGAGACGTTAATATCTACGCAGCCTTTTGTGGTTGTGAAACTGTTTTTATTTTTTTAACCAAAATCTTAGCTAAATCAACACGAGTTTTGAAATATTGAAATTTAATTGAAACTATGATTTCTGTTGGAAAACGATACCAGTAACTCTAATATTATACTCAGGAATTCAAAGATGGTGGAAGAAAATAAAAAATCTAATATTAATGATAAACTGTTACTTGTAGCTTCCTCACACCTTCCACCAGTAATAATTTCCTCTGCTCTGTCATGTGTAATAATGAAGATAAGAGCTAACTCTTGCATGAAAAAGGTAATAATAATTTTGTAAACAAATATCTCACTGTATAAGCTGTAATAATAGCCACTGACGGGACTCAGAGCCATCCTTACACTGTGTACGGGAACATTATAATGCTTATTATCTGGAAAAGCGGAAAGTGAAGTTGCGGTGTCCTCTAAAACGTCTGTGAAAAGCACCCTGTGCCATTTGGAACAGCTTTATTAAAGCGGTCGCATCTCAGCAGCTGCCCGTCCCAGCTATTTCACTCTGCTGTCCGCAGAGGGAGACCAACCTCTTAGTTTAGACGAGATCAGTACTTTTGCCCGGGTTGAAGTGAGAGAGGTGAAAGCTGTTGGATTGATTTTCACATGACTTAACACTTCAACATTCATCTGTGTGCTGCTTCTCCTTTCCCTCCTGTTCTCACCGCTTCTCGTTTCTCCTTTTAACCATACTCATTCTTGTCTGTTATCTCCTACTAAGGTTTTTCTGACCTTGGTTTCCACAAGCTAAAGGTCATTGCTGCCATCTCAGCTGCTTTGCCTGCCTCTGTACCTCTTTCCTTGGGTATTTATTTAATTGCTACTCACTACTTGAGCATTGATCTCAAGCTTTGACATACCTATGAGCTTGAAATTTGTGCAAAACACCTGGTATTAATGTAATCTGATTAACACTAAAACCATACCTACAGTCTTCCCATGTTTTCTTTTCCCGCTGTAACATAAAGCAAAACAAAAAGGAAAGTTTATAAAGAAGATGTAAATATAACAAGCTTAAAAGAAAACTGCTATGTCAGAGGGAGACTGTCCCAGCTTTTCTTATCACTGTATGATTACTCAGTTTCGCTGTTGTTAATGATGTCTTTGTCTAACACATCTTCTAAGTCACATCCTTGGCCTGCGCAAGTTCAGCGTTTTTGCTGCTGTGTGATTCTTGCTCTCATTCCTTTATTTTTCTTTGCTGACACTTTCCACTTATCCAAGCGCATGTGTGTGACATCCAAATTCCTATGGATGAATCGGAAGCATTCCTGTACATAGCGATTAGAAGATGTTGAAGAAAAACAGAGTCATGAAGAACCAATCCATTCTCATGATTCCTTAAGATGTATTTTCCCATAGGAAACAAGTGTAATTATTGTTCGTAACTGAAGTCACCTTCTAAGAAGTTTAGAAGAAACATTTTAGTGCCCCTGAAAACTTTTACGGCAGGGCAGAGAGCAGGTACCCACGCTGCAGAACCGCTCGCAGGCATCCCCTGCAGCAGGATCCCGATCCCGGCACGCAGGCTCCAGCGGTTCCTGCTCCTTTGCAGCAGAGACAAGCCCTGCGCACACCTGAACATTTCCAGTTCTGCAGAGCTAAGCCTCACATCTGCCAGTGGAAGATCTTAGATGGTAGAGCTTCAGATGCAAAGGCTGAGATAGAATTAAAGCCTTACTTCCTTGCAGCAACTCTCGTATCCGCACACCCGCTCCAACAGCTCAAAGGGCATGTGCGTAGCTGACACACAGGTTACACTGCACACTTGTAAAACTCTCTTCTTGGGCATGTTTTCTTTCAGATTTAAGGATTACCAGCATTGCTACAATTGTCCACTGTTTACGTATTCGCATGATTTAAATTGTCGCAATTCATCAGCGTTCAAATTCCTTTTATCTTTCTTTTCTATGGCATCTCCTCCCTGTCTACTTCATACTCCACTGCAACTACTCTCCTTCTCCGCTGTAATTAACACTCTATCCCTATAACCAAGTCTGCAAATGATACTCCTTCAACCCAGTCTCACCAAAGTTTGAGGTGATCCCCTCCTGAATAACTGATTTCTAATTCTTCTATCTTCCTTTCCTATGTTTTTCCCCTGACACTTCCTACTAAATGAAGCTCCCCCTCCAGGTATGTGATTTAACTTCTAAACTCCCCAGTGTCTGACTGCTGGGACAGTGTGCGTGGGAAGCGAATGCAAGGTGACAGGCGATAACAACCTATCTCTTAATGATAGCTTGTAAATTGCATGCCTTTGGGGTTGTTGTTTTAGATTAATATTTATTTTTTTTCTCTCAGTAAAATGTAATTGGCACTAAGCAGGAGGAAACTTACCTGTTGAATGAAAATTTTACTAAAAACTACAGGAACACAGACATTATTGTGAAAGAGTAGCTTGGCAAAAAGTTTCCTTGTGAAATGGGTTAAATTCTGCACCGTGATAGGAGAATGAAAGTTTCTTCCTACAGGGAAAGCTTTGTTTCAAATCTCAGGGCAGAAATTGACCCATTGACTGTACACAGGGAATATAAATACTGGGAGATTTTGCATTATCTTTATGCCTGCTTTGCAGAATATTCAGTAGTGCGTATATGGCTGAAAAGCAAAATCTGCTCCGTAAATCCGCATTGCTGATCGATTCTTGCTTTGCCAAAAAAAACAAAAAAGAATGAAATGTAGACCTGCACAGACTTTTAATGAACCTTTTCTTCCTATGAAGTCATCTATTTCTAATTCTGCATTGCAAATGAATGTGAAGAATAGCAGTAGACTTATACAGGCATCCAAGATGTCTTCAAGGAAGAAACTGGCCTTAAGCCATAGATCTAGAAAAGCGAACTGAGCTTCTTTGGACGTCAGCTGCACGTTGATGATGAGTTACGGCAGGTATTTCAGTAGGTTTCTGAACCACATTGTGTTTATTTCAAGTGTCCAAAATACTGCTGTAGAAAAGGACGGATCTAATGGTGCTTTGAGGGTGCTGACTATGTTCATGTGCATATTTCAAATCAAGGTAAACCTTGGTACACCGTGCTGTCAGGTTGTGCTTTATGTCATATAATGCTCATAAGTTGTTATTTTTAAGCACTGCGCTATTATCGTAAATCTGTTTCGCTTGACTGAATTCCTTTCCTGTCCTGTGAATTTTGTTTATATGCTATTTCAAATGTAATTAATTTGTATTATCTCAGGTTTACTTCTTAACTTCATCCCCCTCTCTCCTTTCCTCTCCACCCCTCCTCCCCTTTGGCTTAAAAGCCTTTTTGGTGTGTGAAATAACAGGTTTCTCGTTCTCATTCTCTTATTTTCCATCGCACCTTGTTCCATGACACTTCATACCTGAAGTTCATGAGCCAGGTATGTGACATGACTTCTGATTTACTCCACCTAGTTGCATCACAAGAGTGTGTTTCTGTGTGTGTATGAGAGCCGAGAACAGGAGCCTTGGGTTGGTAGAAGAGAACAAAACAAGAGAAACAAATATTAACCACAATGATCACTTGCAGCCCCTTTCTCCTTTAATCTCCACGCTTACTACTACTTTAACCTTACAGCACCGTTAACTCCTGACAGCCTCTCCAGATACCTTTTCTCCTTGCCTTAATTCACTAATTCCTTTATTTTTCCCCCCCTTTGTGCATTCCTTGGTCTCTTTCTTAGGCTTTCAAGAGCTTTAAATATCTGTTCTGGTTTTTTTTCTTTCCTATTTCCTGTCTTTCCATT